AATCGACTTCGTTCGCATGTGGAAGCCATGGATCTAAGAACCTATAAACGGAGCCCACGCCGCGGGAATTACCAAATTTGCGGCAGATGGGCTCTATCTTTATAGTATATGCGGCGATCGAGTCTTTCTGTCGCATACTCTCTGAATCTAGATAGACCATAGTTCCATTCTATACGCATTAACACCTACTTCGCGGCGTGCTGTCGAATTATATATATATATAAAAAAAAAAATAGCTATACAAGCTTTGCCTATGTTCGGCTGTCCAAAAGTTGACATGTTCAAGAAAATCTTTGAATTTTGCGCCGCCTCCGAAAAGGTTGAAATGTATTTAATACACTACCTAACGAGTAAATAGGTTTCATTCATATCTGTGACGTAATTGTATGATGAATGAAATAGAAATTATTTTATACTTTTTAGTGCATTTCGAAGTCGGTGTATTTTTTTTCTTAAAATTATTTTATCTACGTTCGACTTACTGCAAAGAACGTAGTACATATCTATTCTATAAAAATTCAGACCCGAAGTTTTCACACTTATGGAGAGAATATTGTACTCGAATTTTGAACCGGATAGGAAAAAAACGGGAGTAATCGAATTAAAGTTCAGAAGTGTCTCCCTGAATATGAGTATTCAGAATCCTGAAATATTTAGACATCCAAGATTCGATTTAGGATCGTGTTTGCAATCGCCTTTATCACGTACGGAGTCATATTAAGAACATTTCTACACTAAATGGTTCTTGATGTCAAGAAATACTCAATTTTTTAAACAAGATATGTATTTACATATGTATATGACAAATGTATAAATACATTGTTTGAATGTAGATCATTTTTGTGTAAAAAATATTTGTTGAGAGATTTTTTCAGAATGAATTTTATATTTCAGAAACTTTTTGTCACTCGTATGAATTGTGTTTTTATGTGCATTTTTATATTATATTGCTTCTATACATGTTTTCTATGAAGCGTATGAGTTGAATTTTCACTTCACTGTAATTCAATAATATATTCTAATGATAGAATAACTTCTTATTTCCCTTTAAATATTAGAATGTATATCCATAGAAATAAACATTTTCTATTTGCTTTGTACTAACAGAAATATACAAACAAAAGAATACAATTTTTAATGTAATTCTTTCATCTGGAATGTAAAATATGTATATGTATTTAAAATAAATACTTTAACAAATCTACTTAAAAAATTTCGGGCCAATGACCATAGCAGTCGACGCCCACAATAATAAACAACAACAGAAAATCTATAACGACAAAAAGGTTTCAAACAAAGAAACCAGTCACGTGTTCATAAATGTTGGTATCGGAATCTATCTAGGCTGCTGATAAATGAGTTGGTAGCAATGTTAAAGTACGATATCTTTTGTTTTTTCGGAGTCTTGCAGTTCGGGTACCGGCGATGCTTGTCTATGTTAAATGCTATCAATAAATCAATAACAGTTAAAGGAAGATAAAATACCAAAAGTTCTTCCAGGAAATCCGAAACTAAAACCTCCACGTTTGGGTTGTGCTATCAAATATTTTGGTCCTGGCGCTTGACATATTTGTCTTGCAGGAGTTCTTATTCCAAATGTGTATGCTGGATTTCGATATTTTGAAAGGCAATGCTCGTCATAACCCACAAGTGTCCTAAGTAAATATTTAGGTCCCGGACCTAAAATTAACATTTTATATAGGTCATAATATGCGAAACTAAGATTTAAAGGCCATCTTTGTAAATTATAAATAAATTTTTCTGTAATTATAACGCGCGGTATATTTATACAGAACTTATAATATATTAAAGTAATATTTATTTATTCACCTCGAATACCACATACAACGATCCCCCGTTTGGCCGGTTTTTCTGATTCCGTTCCTGGTTTAGTGTCTGGTTGTGAATCGGGTTTCGATGACATTTTTATACTTATTAATTTACATTTCCAAAATAATTTAAATTATATGAAGATTTAAGAGTATTGTGTAGATTGAACCATTATAAATATGGGCTGTTGGTTAATCTTGCATGTTGAAAAATTTGTTACATTGTGACGACGTTCCTTGAAGTTAGTCATGAGAAGCAAAAAAAAAACAAAAGGACATTATTTCTTTTGCTTGTATGCGCATAATAATTTTAGAAAATATACACATATACTAGGGTGGCTGAAAAAAATTGATTTATTTTTTTTCGCTCTTTTCGACTGTAAATAGTTAGTATACATATAATGCAAGAAAATCTTCTCAAAGTTTGAACTCAAAAATTTTTATTCAAGAGATCACTTAAAGTTTCTGTTGATACAATGATCTTTTATCGCGTCCTCTTTTAATTGCAACTTAAGCGATTACAATTGTCATAAAAGTATATTTAAAGTATAAATTTGATAAAATACCCATAATTGGTTAATATAAGAGATAATTATAGATAAACAAATAGATTTAAATAAAAAAAAGAGATTAATCAATTTTATTTTGTAAACTTTTGTATTGCTTCGAGCGATCTCTTTTTGAATTTTTTAGCTCAAACTGTAAAAGGATTTTTTACACTGCTTTTTTAAAAGATTAGAGCAAAACAAAATTTTTGTTAAACCACCCTAGTGTATATGTAATAAGTAACATGTATGAAATGTGACAATTATATGTATATTATCCGAAAACAGTGAATATTCTATACAGTATTGATTCGTAACAAGCAACTCGCTCGGGTCTGGCCAGTTGCTTTGTTACGAATCCGGTACATTATATTGTTTTCTCACTCTGATGCATGGCGATTCTGTTATATTATGAAAAGTATATTCTCCGAAATTATGTTATATCAATATGCTTTTTTTTAAATCTAATGGCTGACAGTAATCCATAATTTGAGGTACATTTTTATCTATAATTTTAATTAATTTATTTAACAAAAATAAAAAAAGTTGAAGAAAAAATTAGTTAAGTATAATACACTATGCATAATATATTATACTATATGAACTGTGTACAATGAACAATAATACAATATATAAGCGTGGAATATACAATTTCTATGCAACAGGTACAATATATACAATACAATAAATAAATCTTCGGTCCACGAGCAAGGCTTTTCTCCAAATGGAAAGCACGGACCAGTCAGATGGACATGAAAAAAAAAATGAATAAGTTTACTGATCAAAAATATTTATTGTAAATAATTTGATACTTAACTTTTTCGAAGTCTCTGATCCACGAGCAGGGCTTTTCTCCAAACGGAAAACACGTACCACTTACATGAGCCTTCTTAATTATTGTCCTCCTTTTTTCGTAGTGCTTCCTTTTCTAAACCTTGCTTCAAGACGACTCCCAATGCTAACAATGTCGGATTACCCTTTGCGAATTTTTTTATAGTATTTTCGAAGGCAGCTAACTCTTTCTTGTTTTCTTCAATTTCATTTTGTTTTTCAGTTTTTGCCACTTCATCTTCTATTTCTTCCATTCTATTCTGTTCTTCGTGTTCGTCCACTTTTTCTGCTTCCTCCTGTTCTTCCTCCTCTTCATCCTCCTCTTGAGTTAAAATTTCGTTCATATTTTTCTTATTAACATTTTCGTCTCAGTTCAAGGCTTCTAACATTTCTTGACATTCTTCATAAGTGATACTTTCCCCGCTAATCGTGTGTATAACATCACTAAGAGCTGAATGAATCGAAACATCTAATTCCTGTGCATTTTCGTTTTCTTCGATCCCCCCTTCCCTTCCATCCAGTCCAAGAATTTTGTTCCAACTATTTTTTATATTATTAGGCGTAATATTCATCCATGCTTCTTCCACAAAATTAATACACTCTTTAATGTTAAATAATCTATAAAAATCGGTTGCACCGTTCTCATATTGTAAAATACGACGGAGGACTTTATGGCGGTACAATACTTTAAATTTGGCAATTACGCTTTGGTCCATGGGCTGAATTAATGACGTTGTGTTCGGTAGCAGATAAATAAGTTCAAAATTATCTTCGTTTTCAATTCCTCGATGACTGGAACAATTGTCCACGCACAATATTACTTTACCTGATATTCCCTGCTCTAAGTGGTATTGCTGAACACTCGTTTTGAAGCAATTTTCGTACCATTCTCTAAAAATGTCGCCAATCATCCATGCCTGCGTCTACGATCGGTATATCACAGGTAATTCGTTGCAATTCCGGAGCGCTCGCGGATTCTTGTACTTATTAATAAAAATAAGTGCAGGTTATGCGCGCCATTTCCATTGGCACACAGTCCAATAGATATTCTGTCCTTCCTTATTTTTTTTCCCCGTCAATGTTCCTTCTTCATTTGATACTAAGGATTTCGATGGAACCGTCTTCCACAATGGGCCTGTTTCATTCATGTTGTAAATTCTATTCGCGTCGATGTCCTCTTCCACCAATCGGTTCACGAATGATGTAACTGTAACATAATCTTCCGCACTTTCCACGTCTGCACTTCCCTGTTCCCCATGCGCCCGCGCCAATTTGATACCGTACCGTTTTTTAAATTTTTGAACCCATCCCCTACTTCCGGCAAACTTGTCTTAATAATTGATTCCTTTTTTCTTGTAACAGCAAATCATTGATTGGATTCCCCATTGCCCGTTGCTCCAAAAACCACGTGTATAATTTATTCTCTAGATCTTTATTCGAAGATGTTCTACGATTCTTATGTTTCAAAACGCGCCCACCCCGAATTGCGAAACTTGATAATTTATGATAATTGCGACGTATACGGTATATTACATCCCGCGACACTCCATATCCTACCACTTAATGTTTTTACAGGTAATCCTTTTTCTAACTCCTCAGCAATGTTCACTTTTCGAATTATGCTGAGGAAAACTCTGCTTTTGTTCTCACTTCCTGCCATGATGCACAAACACTTATGTTCACGTATGTTACGGCGTAACAAATAACATATAAATCACACTACACATACAAATTTTAGGAAAAGGTTTACGACGTGGCGAAAGAAAGTAATCGCTTTTGAAGACCTTCAATTTAGTATCCGTACCATCTGTGTACCAGCACTAGGATGGTACGTGACAATTTAGTTTTTAGTAAAATCATTTATTGATACATCATCAGTCGAGTCTTTGGCTTCAGCGGTGCAGGCCATGTCATAAACCTTGCGGACCCAAAGGTCGAAGGGTAACGTGGGCCTGGAGAGTAACGGTTCCAGGTCCCTCAGGAAGACGTCACAGATTTTGGGAAAAACCTATTTTCTGTGACGTTGTCCTCCCCCATACAGACAACCCTGTTCCCCTTCCAAAAATGTACCACGCCAAGGGCGCAAAGGAAGGGAGAACAGAGGTTTTAAATACAGCAACATATGCCGAAAAACGGCAGAAAGACAAAATCAAGGAGAAAGCAAAAATCATTCAGTCAGAAAGAAAAAATCAGGCAGAAAGACACAAAAATTAGTCAAGTCAAAACACATTAAATACTCAACACATTAAATCTTTTAAACATAACATTCAAACACAACGTAATTATATCAAGTATTGTTAAAGTTCACTGTTACTGTTATAATAAATAAATGTTATTACTTAGTGAAATCAGCATCCATTTTTTAAACTGCAATATTCACTCGTCGTTAATTCAGCGTGGGAAGTGGAGCATCCCTGAAAGTTCCTTTCAAACATAAAATTTTTAATCTTTGCTCTGCCAAAACATTTGGTCCTTCGAGCCGGATGCTGAATTGCAACATCGAAGCAATACGAACAATAGTGAACAGGGTAACTAAATAAACATTTTTTAACAAATTCATAAAAGTGCGGTGCAACGCGTCGCGTATACTAATTGGTGTTGAGACAAAAATCAGTCTTCTTCATCATATAAATCAACATTGGTGTACCTACATTTACATCAAATATCCAACAACTGTACTGGACATCCTATCCGGAGAGCAGCCACGTGCAGAAGGACGACATCAACGACGTATAGTTGCGTCAATCATCAAATCATCGTAGTGGACATCCCGTCGGAGAGCAGCCACTTACGAAAATAAGAAATCAGCGACGTGGAATTACGTCAAAAGCAGCAGCCATCGTGGACATCCCTTTGGAAAGCAGCCACACACGGTAGCAGCAACTTCTTCGTGGACAGCAAACAACGAACGAAGAATCATCATCATCAATAAGGAGTAAGCTTACACAATCTCCATATCCATTATTTATACATATCTCCTTGTCTCCCTAAAGCGTGAATCAAGTTTGCTTGTCATTCAAAGACAATTAATCACATCAATCACATTAAAATGGCTAATGTAAAAAGAATCAAATCATTAACCAAGTCACGTTCGATAACTAAGGGTAGTGTATCGCGATTAATTACTCATTTAAAAAGTAAGGCAGATCTTACTATCGAGGCATTAGAGATTCGTAAAGAACGATTAGATGAATATTATCGTACATTTAAAGAAATTCAGTGTGAAATTGAGGATCTTGCCGAAGAAGCAGAATATGAAGATGATTCAAATACTGAAAGAGAACAATTCGATGAATTATTTTTCGAATGTTCAGATTTAATTAGTAATAAAATTCAGCTCCATAGATCAAAAGATACATCAACTAAAAATGCCAGTAGCGTCTCAGAATCACCCACAGATATTTCTAATTTAGTCATACAACAAAGTAACACCTTATTACCCAAAATAGGGATTCGTTCTTTTGATGGTAATCCGCTAGAATGGCATAGCTTCTATGATACATTTTTATCTCTCGTCTATAATGATTCGAAAATACCAGCGGTTCAAAAATTTCACTTGCTAAAAAATTCATTGCGTGGTAGTGTTGCCACAATAATTGAGCCCTTACACGCATCTGAAGAAAATTATTTAGTAGCATGGGAGTTACTCAAGCAACGTTGCGATAGGCCGCGACAAATAATAAATGCACACTTAAAATCATTTTTATTATAGAATTAGCTGAAATAAACAAAGATTCTCCTCTTAGTTTAAGAACTCTAAAAGAAAAAGCATTAATGCACGTTAACGCATTAAAGGCGTTAAAATTACCTGTAGACAGTTGGGACGCGTTATTAGTATACATTCTTACACAAAAATTAGACAAACACGTCGAACTTGGGAACGGACATTAGAAAATACGGAAATGCCCAAATTCAGCGAACTTATTGCATTTTTGGGGAAATAAGAACGGGGAGATGAAACAGAGGAATTCACTATCGCGAAAAAGAAATTAGATAGTAATTTTAATACAGTTAGGAATGTAAATTGCATTGAAAAAACATTTAAGAATCATAGTCAGGTATACGTTGGTACTCAACAACGGATAATCTGCACATTTTGTCAAGGAAGTCACTACATTTTTACCTGTAACCAGTTTTTAAAATTAGATCAGCGTGGCCGTTTGTCCGCAGCCAAAGAAAAACGGCTATGTATTAACTGTTTGAGAAATAATCACACAACGTCTAATTGCTTAGTTTCAGGGTGTAAAAAATGCAATCGTAAACACAATACACTATTACATATAGACAATTGTAATACAAAACCTAATGAGGAAAAAAATAACGAAGTTAAAGCAATTCCTAGTAGCTCTAGTGAAACAGTTAAAAACACTTATACAGTAACACACGACTCAGAAGTATTGTTAGGAACAGCTAGAATAAAAATATTGGATAGTAAAAATCAGGAACATGAATGTAGAGTGTTGTTGGATGGATGCTCTCAATGCAATTTCATTTCTACTCAATTAGCAGAAAAATTAAAATTAGAAAAACATATTATTGATCTACCATTTGCAGGGTTAGCTCAGCTTACTACACGAGCTAAGTATAGCGTTCAAACAAAAATCAAATCAAAAATAAACAATTTCGAAGCAAATGTAAATTTTGTAGCTTTACCCACAATTACAAGCATTTTACCATCGCGACAAATAGACCGACGTGCTATTGCAATTCCGCGAAACATCACGTTAGCAGATCCAGAATTCGATAAACCTGCCGAAATAGATGCATCGATAGGAACATCACTCTTTTATAAATTATTAAGCAACGGGCAGATACAATTAGAAAATAACACAGATGTAACTTTACAGAAAACAGTATTAGGATGGATAGTGTTAGGAGAAGTAGGAAAATTTAATTGCATTTCGAAGCCTAAAGTTTGTCATTTGACTACTGCGTTAGAAAAACATTTAACACGATTTTGGGAGGTAGACGGTAGAAGAAATTCCTAATAAAATACATTATTCAGCAGAAGAGTTAGAATGCGAACAATTATTTACAGAAACAACAACCCGCGATTCAGAAGGGCGATACATAGTAAAACTACCATTTAATGAATTAAAAACGTTTATCAGTCAGTCGTACAATATGGCATAACGTCGATTTTATACATTAGAGAGAAAATTAGCTAAAGACAATAACTTAAAACAACAATACTCAACATTTTTAAAAGAATACTTAGAGCTAGGGCGCATGTGTGATATAACAGAAAATAATATTATTCAGGAGGGTTATTACATACTTCATCATGCGGTGATTAGAAATGAAAGTTTAACAACCAAGGTTAGAGTAGTATTTGATGCGTCTGCAAAAAGCACTAGCAATATTTCACTAAATGATTCATTAAAAGTAGGCCCAACGATACAAGATGATTTGATGTTCATCATTATGAGATTCAGATTACATAATGTAGTTCTTGCAGCTGATATTAAAAAAATGTATCGGCAAGTTAAGGTTTCTGATTCAGATTCAATTTATCAAAAAATTTTGTGGCATGAAAACGAATATGACGTTTTACGAATATTTAAATTAACCACGGTTACTCAAGGAACAGCATCGGCACCATTTCTCGCAGCAAGATGATTGCATCAGTTAGCGAATGATCATTATAATCAATATCCTAAAACAGCCGATATATTAAAAAATGATTTTTATGTGGATGATTTGTTGTCGGGCGCATCCACAATTCAAGAGGCATTGAAATTAAAAAGTCAGTTAATAGCATTGTTACAACTTGGGGGATTTCAACTTCATAAATGGGTCTCCAATAAATCTCAAGTAACAGTCGAATGCAATGATAATAACACAGCATCAAATATTTGTTTAAATACACAATCCAAAAAGTTGTTAGGAGTTCACTGGAATGCCACAGAAGACGTATTAATGTATTCGATTAAGTCATTACCTAATAACAAGTGCGTTACTAAACGCAATATATTATCAGAGATAGCGCAGTTGTTTGACCCATTACGACTGTTAGGGCCGGTAATTGTTATAGCTAAGCTTATTATGCAAGAATTATGGAAGGCAAATCTTGATTGGGATGAGTCCATTCCAAAAATACTACACACAAAATGGATAAATTTTAAACACAGTCTACCAATTCTTACTCAATTCAAGCTACCTAGACAAATTATTTTAAGCAATTTCACTGATATTCAATTACATGGATTCTGTGACGCAAGCGAGAGTGCTTACGGTGCTTGCGTATACATAAGGTCCACAGATAAAATTAACAATTGTTACGTACAATTGTTGTGTGCTAAATCTCGTATAGCACCCATTAAAACAACGACAATACCTAGGTTAGAGTTACGTGCATCCCATTTGTTGGCTAATTTAGTTCAAAAAATCACAGAAGCGTTAAAATTATCATTTAATAAAATTCACTTGTGGTCAGATTCTACAATTGTACTACATTGTATTCAAGCTTCGCCTCACACACTGAAAACTTTTGTTGCCAATAGAGTATCAGAAATTCAAGTAGAAACTAATATTCATGACTGGCACCACATAGCTAGTGAGGACAATCCCGCGGACGACCTCTCTCGTGGACAAAATTCTTCAGCTTTTATTACAAATACACGTTGGTTACAAGGCCCCATATGGCTTAACGAAAATGAG